TCCTCTCCCCAGCCTCCCATAGGAAGTATCTGCTCTCCTGTGTGATCAGGAGCTGAGAGAAGCCCATGCTGAGGGCAGCCCTGGAGTCCCCACCATCCTGCCCTCTGGGGAGGGGACTTCTGCTTCTTCTCCCTGCTCCACGCCACATGCTGCCCCCTGTAGCTTCCGCACCATGGAACAGCTGTGGGGCAGCCAACAATGAAATGGTGCTGTAATGCGTGCTCTGGGTGCTGGGTGCTGTGCCAGGAGCAGAGGACACCTCGGTCCCAGGGAAGATGGGCAGGGGAGGAGGAAGTGAGCTATGCCTGGACGAAAGGACTCCCGCTAACAGGCTAAGGCAGGGCCCCGGTACATAGGGACAGTCCGTGTCCATCCTGCTTGGGAAGGAAGCGGTTCTGGAGGTCCAGAGTGGCCGGCGTTGTATGTCAAAATGTCGAATGCAGTCCTGCCTACTCCTCAGCAAGGAAGAAGATAAGGAGAAAACAAGAGACACTGCCCGAGGGACTTCCAGGCTAGAGAGGGCCAGAGACACAGACGGAAAATGCATGGTGAGACTTGGCCAGGGACCCAATGAGACTGCATGGAAGATCACCCCCGAGAGAGCACCTTCAGGGAACACTCACGACTGTCCACTGCCTGGCTCCCCAACCCCTGTGTAGATGAGGCACCCAAAGGAGATGGTGAAGAAATCTCTATTATTTATGGCATTCACTGGAAGAGTGGAGAACGCACCTTTAGGAAAGAATCCACACTACTCATTTGAATTTTTGATTCCTAGATTCTAAGAATCCTCAGAATTATAAGGACATGGATTCTGCACCTTGTACTCCAAATGAATCAGCTTTAGATGTAAGCCACAGAGGGTAGGCTGCAATAGAGCAATGACAGAAGAGAGAAAACAGGTTTGTCTGGTCATAAATATTTTACTTAGCTCAATGAGCCGCAGGTAGGCACTTGCCCTAATAAGAAAATATTGATTGAATTCTAGCCTGGAATCAGGGCTCATAATTGATGGTTGCAGGACTTGAGGAATCATGTTCAGCAAATGAAGGCAGATTGCTTGGATAGCATTGGAGGAGATCTCATTTTAGATCAAAACCCAAGGATAAGCAGGGTTGCCACAGAAGCCCGAGTGAAGGTTGCATAGGAGAATCCAGGTCTCAGAGCCAGGCATGTCCTTGGGCTCAGAGAACCATCCCATCCCTGCCTCACAGGTTGTATGTAACCTGAGGATTTGTCAAGACTACCGAGGCCATGGATCTAGAGAAAAGTCTCCTCTTTGTCTACCCAGATTTGAGCTGGTGATGAGACATCGTGACCACGGGAGCTCTACCCAGACTCATCCCAGGCAGAAGAGGGGTCCAACAAGCTTTCCCTGAGTTCAGCCAGGTGCCACCCCCCGGTCCCCCAGGTGACTGGGGCCATGTCCCAGACACATGCTCATCATAGTTACCTTCTCCTTGCATTTGGAGCGATGAGCTCTGTGCTTGAGTGGAATAGTCATTCTGAAAAGGATTCTTACAGAAGCACTCCCTAGCACTCTCAGAACTGAAAGGGAGAATTTGTAGCTTTTATGCAACAAATAGCAACCAATATGAGGAAGTGCTGTCTGGTCGTCTCCAGGGGCGCACTGCGTGCCCCGAGGCCCTGTGTCACTCAGCATGTAGCATGGGAAGGGAGACTCTGGTTCCCACCCAGCCTGGCCTCGGGACTCCAGTGCAAAAATGAGAAGCTGAGTTCCCAGGGTGCATCTGAAGCTGTCCTTTTGGACGATGACCTCGGCCACCTCCAGATAAACACTGACAGATACCTGGGCTGCTTGGGAGAATTAGAAAGCAAATTCCCTAGAGGGCCTGAGTCCAGCTTGGGAGAATGCAAAGGGGCCCTTGGGGGTAGATATTACAGGGCCCTGACACTGCAGTCACAGAGCCATTCTGCTGTTCTCAAGAGATACAAACAGGCAGGTTTGAGGGGGAGGGGAAGCCTTATTACTTCCTGTAATACCTAAGCCCAGGGCCAGCTGTGTCATTCGTGGAACCCAGAGTAAATTAAAGCTGCAAGGCTCTTGCTCAAAAGTTAGTAAGAGGTCAGGCACAATAAAGCACATTCGTAATCCCAGCTACTCAGGAGCTGGGCCTGCAGGATTGCAAGTTCGAGCCCAGCCTGGTCAACTTAGAGAAACCCTTTCTCACACTAAAATATAAGAAGGGCTGGGATGGGGCTCAGTGGTAGAACACCCGCCTAGCATACAAAAGGCCCTGGGTTCCATCTCCAAAGCACCAGGAAAAGCTGCTAAGGACCCTAGAACAGCAGCAGTGGAGCGTGAGAGCCAGTGTGGGTTGGGAGATGCCTCCCAGGATGCTGCAGGTCCTGCAGCTCAGGAGTCCAACACAAGGGCTGGCAGTGCCAGCTCCTTCTGCAGGCTCCAAGGGAGATCCATGCTCTGCTCTCTCTGAGGTGCCAGTGGCTGCTGCACTCCTCAGCTGGGAGCTGAGTCCCTCCGATTTCTACTCCATAACCGCCTGAGCATTTTCTTTGTGCCTTTGAGTCTCAAATCTCCCTCTCCTGTGTCTATGGAGGACACTAGTCATTGGGTTGGGACCACATGACTACTGCTTTAATTCTATTATGTCTGCAGGCTCTATTTCCAAACAGGGCCACATTCACAGGAAGCAGGGTGCAAAACAGGTCACATCTTTGGGGGCCCAGTATTCTGTCCCCTCCAGGACTCTTGGGGTTGTACAGCTGGAGTCCACAGCTAACCCTGAGCTCTGAGGCATGGCTGCCCCTCCATCCTTTACAAAGCATCAGCATAGAGCTTGCTTTGCACTCGGCTTGCTCTGCATTCAGTGCTGTCCTTCCTGCGGACTCCTCTGTCCTCCTGCAGCCCTATCTGGCTGCCCTCCTCAGGGGGACAAACCAGGGCCACCACACTGCCACTGCCCACTGCTGTTGCAGCCCTGCTGTGCAAGCAGCTGACACCCCCCCTCCATCCCCTCTGCTCAGACATCCACAGGATGTGGGAGTCAAAGGGGTGCTTGCTGTGGGCGTGGCTTGTCTCCACCGGAACTGGGGCTGAAATCTGACCCTCGGGGTCACAGTGCTGGTCCCACAGTGGTGGGAGGTTTTCGGGTCATGGGTGCTCTGCCCTCCTGAATGGACGATGCCTTTCTAGGGAGATGGGGCTGGGTGTCAGGGCTGGGTGTCAGGGCTGGCTTGGTGACCTAGACAGCCCTCGACTGTAGAGCAAACTGAGCCCTGGCATTCTGGCTTCTTCCTCATGAACCCCCACCCACCTCTCTTGAGAGATCTCCTGCTCAGTGATAGGTGATGCTACCTGCTGTGAGTTACGCAGCGTAAGTCCCTCGACAGAAGCTGAGCAGAGGCAGTACCATGGCGTTCGTGGGTGCATGTGTGTGTGTGTGTGTGTGTGTGTGTGTGTGTGTGCACATGCATGTGTGTGTGTGAGTGTGTGTGTGCGCATGTGGTACTGGGGATGAACACAGGCCTCTGGACTGAGGTACATCTCAGCCCTTCTTAGTTTTTCTTTTTCAACAGGGATTCTCTGAGTCCCTAAGTTACACAGACTGGGCTCAAACTTGTAATTCTCTGGCCTCCACTTCCTGGAGTGCTGGAAATACACACATGTGTCACCACACTCCGCTTACCTTTTCTCTTTATCAAGTACTGAGCCCAGTTATTTTATTCTAGCAACAGAAAATAGACTAAGACATGGGGCAACACCGGGCCACACAGAGGGCCTCCGAGAGGCCTCTGCTCTGGTGGGTTGGGTCTACAGTGGGCGGAATAATGCTCCCAAAGATACCACATCCTAACCCCCAGGACCTTTAAAAATGGGACTTCGTGTGGCTATACCCTGCCCTGAGATGATCCTGAACTATCTGGAGGGCCCACACAGTCACCAAGGGCCTCAAGAGAGAGGCAAGAGGGTCACAGTCAGAGAAGGCAGATGGAGGCAGATGCCACAGCTGAGGAACACAGGGACCCCAGAACCAGGAAGGGCACTGAACGGGTGCTCCCAGGAGCCTCTGGTACACACAGCCCTGCTGAGCCCGACTGTGGCCCTGGGACCTGGGGACATCGGGCCTGCAGAACAGTTTGATAATAAGATCATGCTGGCTCCAGTCAATACGTCTCTGGTGATTTGTTACAGCAGCAACAGCGCGCTGATACACACCCACGTCTCCCGTTTGAGGCAGGTTTGAGCCTCACTCCTGCTCTCAGACATTCATTCCCCCAACACAACCTGAGCTAACATGGTGAGCCTGTGCCTGGAAGACCGGGCAGCGCAGCACTGTGGGTGGGTTCAGACCCAAGAGGAGTGTGGAGCCCAGCTGGCTCAATTCCAGGGGAGCCGTGTGACCTTGGCGAGGCAGCTCGTGAGAACACTGCCATGCGACCTCACCCACTGTGTTTACTGGAGCTGACACCACATGACTTTGGCTCTTCCCCAAAGTCAAATGACCATGGAAGAGAAACATTTTGAGTGGATTCAGGGCATTAAGGCAACCAGGAGAGCGCACTAAAGACACTTGGGAAAGAAGTCTTCCACAACTGCCTCAGAAAGTGGCACGAAAGATGAGCTATGTGTGTTGGAAGCAAGGGGGAGGACTTTGAGGGAAATTAACGGCACTGTACCTTTTATTGTCATATGTTTGCTTTTGGTTTTTATCAGTCTGTGTCTGCAGGACATAATGATTCCATTCCTTGAGTGGAGTTGGTACATTACACAGTACAACTTAATTCCTTTTTTCCTCCCCTTTCACCTCTTGATCAACTTCCCCTCTGAGAAAGATCGATTTCCCCATGTCTATTGTCTACCTTTTATTTTGCTCTTAATTTATATTTTGGGTTTCTCATATAAAAGAAATCATGCGATTTTTAAGCTCGTGTATCTGACTTATTTCACTTAATATTGAGGTCTCAAGGTGTATCCATTTTCCTATAAATGACTCAAGTGTATCCTTTTAAGCACTCACCGTATGTTTTGATCTCACCGCATGGATGGGCCATCCTCTGGCCAGGGCTTGGCTGGGCCTGGATCCTGCACTGAGCGAGCAGTCTCTCTCTAGGGTTCGCTGCAATGACAACAGAGAAACCTCACAATGGAGCCCGTGTCGCTTGCTTTCTTCTGGTACAAAGACCTCTCCATCACAGATGGGAAAAAGAGGGAAGCAAAGGCGGGCTGTGCTCTGGGTGACCCACTCCTGGGGTGTTCTGGTTTCTGCACTTCTCCCTGCAGTATTCAGAGCAGCCCCAGCACACTTCTAGCAGCCCCAATCTGGGACTGACCGAGTTTGCTTCTTGTAGCGAGTTCTGACTCATTTGCCACCTCCTAGGGGTGCTGTGAAAAGGAAACCAAATAAAAACACAAAGTGTTTAGTGAGTTCCTGAATAGATTGTGACCTCAATAAACGGTGGCTTGTTATTATTCATACGGTAGACTTCCTGGAGATTCCCCGCACCGCTAGCCTAAGGGGGTTCTGAACTCAGCAGATTTCAAAAGTCCCTCAGCGTCATTCATCTTCTGTGACCCCCTAAAAGCCACACTTCAAAAGCTTGCTGCCTCTGTGACTAGGCCCAACTGCAACCCCAAGCCACTCCAGAACCTTCCTGCCTGCACTGCTGTTGTCTGCTCCAGCCGGCAACTATGTCCTCCATACACACACGTGGGCTCTAGGACACTGAGGTTACCGCGGTTGCTTCCTTGGCCCGTTTAAGGTGTCTGACATAACTTCTGGCCGCTCAGCTGTAACTTCCAGCAGCTCCGCCATTGGGGCTGCCCGCCATGTTTAGGACTGACTGAAAGAGCGTTGCTAGTAATCTGATAGAACAGGGACATCCGAGGTCCCCTTCACAGGGGCTCATTTGATGGACAATCCACAGCCACACAGAACACAGAGTTTTTTACTGATTGGAAAGGTGAAATGAGAGAGTCCATACTCAACATTCAAATATTGGGAGAGAAGCACATTCAGTCAGAAGCGTAAGACCTACTTTTCTACACAGATTTTCATTTTGTCAATAATCCTTCCTGTAGCCTGTGTTATAAAGTGGTGTAAGCAGAATTCCGAGTGAAAAACTCATGATGAGATAATGAACTGTGCTCTGTTGCAGTTTCAGTAACTGAGGTGTGGCTGCAGCCCACCTCCCTAAGCTTCTGTGTGGACCCCACTCAACCTCCTCCACCAAGAGCTGTAGCTTCTGTGTCAGCATCTGACCAGTGACTCAGGGGACTGTGTGTTTGAGCTGCCCAGAGGGTTGGGTCATATGCCTTGGGACATAATCTCCCTGCCTTTCTGCCAAACCTTGGTTGCTGTGCAAACAAATGTTCAGATTAACCAAAACCCAAAGGAAGACTGACATCACAGTGGAGTTCTCCTCAGGCTGACGCCCCCTCATGGCGGAATGTGAATGAAGTTGGAAAAGATCAATTCAGAAGTAATTGAAGATCTTGAGATGAGATCGTCCAGGATTTAGCAGGGACCCCAAATGCCCTGGTCTTGTTTTTAGTACTGTGGATTGAACCCAGGGCTTCAGCACTGATCTACATCCCAGTCCCATTTTTATTTTTTATTTTGAGATGAGTCTTAGTCACTAAGCTTCCCAGTCTGGGCTCCAACTTGCAATCTTCCTGCCTCAGTCTCCCAGAGCACTAGGATTAGAGTCATGCACCACCACATCTGGTGACAAATGTCTTATAAGATAAAAAACTGAAGGCATGCAGAGGAGAAATCAGGTGAAGCTGGAGGCAAGAATGGAGAGGCACATTTTCAAATCCAGGAACTCCAAGGTTGCCAGAGGCTAACAGAGGTTGGAGAGAGGCAGGGAGCAGAACCTGCATGGAGGCTCCACAAGGAACCAACTCTCAGGGCACTTTGATCTGAGATATGCGGCTTCCGGGGCTCCAGAAGAACACATTTCTGTAGTTTTAACCCAGCCAACTTGTTCTGGCAACTGCAGGGAGCAAGTATGGCTCCCAAGGAAACTCTCGCTGCTCACAGACACTCTGCCCTCCTTCAATAATCTGAGCCCTGCTTTGGGCTGGGTGCTGACACACACACCTGCCAAGTTACTTGCACTTGGCACTTGTCTGAAGCTGAACTTGGAGCAGCACAGTCCTTGATGCCCAAGGCTCCTGGAAGAGCTGCATACACACTGGGCAGGTGCACGCTGCTGTGAGGAAGGGATGGAGTGTGGCTGGACAGGACCTCTGAGGCCAGACTCCAGAAACACAAGGCAGTATTTCCTGTGCAGGCTCAGTGTCGCCAGCTCTGCAGCAGCCAGCCGCCTGAGGTGCATGGTGGACCTTGGGCTGCTGGCAGGCGCCCAGGACCAGACTGCTGCACTTTGCTAGTGGACAAACGAACTCTGAAGTCTCGGTGGTGCAGCAGTGACGGGTTCTGTCCAGAGCGCATCACGGTTGGGTGGCACTGCAGCGCTCAGCCTCCTGTGAGAGGTGACTCCGGCTCCCAGGCCGTCTCCATCTTGCATGTCGGTCACCTAGGAATCCATGGCTCTTGGCTCTGCGGAGGGGGCAGAAGCGTGAAGGGAGGCAGGCTCCCTGGAGCCGCCAGCTTTCTCTCCCACTGTGTGGTCGAGAATCAGCAGTACGGCCCCGTCTCAGTCCTCAGGGCTGGACAAGGGGAGAAGCACACACATGTGTGCAGGTGACACAAGACTCCTCCTTGATGAGAATGAAGGGGACCAGGGGGCTCTGCAGGAGGGAGAAGGGCCTGGCTGCCGGCCTCTCTAGAGACTACTCTTTGTTCCTCTGTGAGGCACAGGGTAGGGGCAAAAGTCTTAAAATGCTATAAACTGGGTGTGGTGTCACAGGCCTGTGATCTCAGCACTCTAGAAGGCTGAGGCAGAAGGATTACAAGTTTGAGCCCAGGCGGGGAGATTTAGTGACGTACCAAACTATAAAAAGGTGTGTGTGCGTGTGTGTGCGTGTGTGTGTGTGTGTGTGTGTGTGTGTGTGTGTGGTGGGAGCCGTGTGAAGGCCCTAGGTTCAATCCTCAGTACTGAAAGAAGAAAAGGTTCTGTAACAGCGAAGACAAAACCAGGATGGCCACTGCTACCGAGGGATGCCTTGGCATTCTGACAATTAGACATCACATGGTGCGGCTGCTAGTTCTCCGAGGCCCGCCTGGGTGGCCACCATGAACTTGGTTGAATTAATACCTTCCTCTTTGTTGAGCTGAGGCGCGAGCTGCTGCCCCAATTGCTGGTTAATGCTGGTTAATGCCCAGAATAACAGCCCTCCAGGATGAGTACAGGGACAGAGAGGTTCCCCCAGCCCCTGTTGAGCGGGGAACCCTGACTGATAGAATGGCACCACCCCTTTCACTGCGCAGTATTTTTAGCAGTACTTTATTCCGTGCTGCATACATCATCCCAGTACACTTCAAATTACACAGCAAAGCACGATTTCCCAGACGTAACAAAGGATACAGACCCATATTTGTGAAATAAACTGCTGCAACTGCCATCACCAACCATGCCTTCCCGTGATGACTTCTAAATTATCCATGGAAATTATTTTCATTTTCATGAGCCGTGGCAGGTGCAGGGGAAGGCATGAGGAGTTAGTGTTTGAGGAAATGAAAACAATCACAAGGAGCCATTAGAAGAATGAGAATTCTGAGAACGTCTGATGGAAAGGCGCTTATTTTCCCCAGTGGTCCCTGAATGGAAACTCCCACAGACACTCTAAGTTCCCACTCTCACAGGCAGAGTGGTGTCGCCTGCAGGAAGCCTCTCTGGGGTCTCCCTCTGAGCTGGAGTCTGCCTCTATCAGCAAGAATGAGGCTGTGTGGGCAGAGCTGGCCCTGGAGGAGGTCACCAAGGAGGCAGGAGCTGTGTCCCTGTGTGTCTAGACTCGCCTCTCCAGCTGCCCAGTGGTGTTTTCCCATCTATGACCTCATTTCATCTCCGGAACGGCTGCAGGCTGGGCAGGGCAGGGAGCCTCAGCCTCCCGGAGAAGTTGAGGGATCTGAGGTCCAGAAAGGTAGGCTGCATGTCTAGGTGCGCCCCCACCCGTCCCATGCTCCTCTGCTGGGTACAGTGCCCAGGTGAAACAGGGAGGCTGTGCGCTGCCACGGACAAAAGGAACCCTAGGACCTGAATTGGTCAGGAGCAGAATCAGATGCAGGCTGGATGTCCTTTCCTAGACTCTGCATGTCACCCACAGTTCTCGGAGGAGCAAAGGCAAAGGGCCTCCCTGTCATCTGCAAAAGGGCAGCAGTAGCAGCCACTGTGCCCCACCCTGGCCCACCACTAAGGTCCTCTTCGCCTCAGGCTCCTCCTCTGGAAGTGCAGAGCCTTAGCTGCGCATATGACTGTGATCGACATATGACTGTGATCGCCATGTCTACCAGCGTGATAACACTGACAGGCAGGCTGTGTAGACCCAGCTGTGCTTAACAAGGTTGTTTTAATCCATTAACACCGACCAGATACATGTCCTCCCAAGCTCATGCTAAACACAACTTGAAAAGTACGTGTGTCCCCTTGGTCTTTCATGCCACACGTCATGCTCTGTGCAGAGTGCATTCCCAGGGTCACACTCACAGGAGAACTTCGGAGCTACCGTCATGTACCCTTCCAAGACATGATTTCACATTTTGAAAACAGAGGCAGGGCTGAGCCACGCAGCCCCCCTGGCCCCCAGCTTGGGGGAATAACGCACTCCTTTCTCAGAAACCCTTGGACTGCAAGTTCCTTTGGGAAATGGAGGCAGCCCCACCCTCCCCTGCAAAGCAAGTGTGTACAGCACGGCTGCCTCTTGTGCAAGTTCTGTCCCATACAGGCCTCACCAGGGCCAGGTGGAACCAGTAGGAGGGAGCTTTTTTGAGGACAAGTGAACACCGTGTGTGAGGTGGCTGTGGGAGAGGGAAGAAGAGCCCATGTGTGACGGCCACAGCAGGTTTCCTTCCCGGCAGACAGAGGCAGGTTGTGGGCACCTTTCTGAAGGGTGGTGCAGGGCAAAAGGGAGAGAGGTTATTTAGCCCGACTGGAAGAAAGCTGTGGAGTCAAGGATTTGTTCTCCTAATTTTTTCAGTCACCTAAAACCTTTTGTCTTCTGCCATTTGGCTACAATTTGGTCCTTCCTTGCTCCATGTAATTGTGGCATAAAGAGTCTATACTGTTGGGAATGGGAATTTTTCAAGCTCTGGAGATGAGAAAAGGCACAGAACTGGAAGGCAAGAAATTTGTGGTCTTATCAGAGGAAACCTTAAAAATGCAAACTCAAAACCTTGAGGGCAAAACTCTGCCCGAGGAGTACAGGGTGCTGCTTAGGACTAAAATCAGCCTGTCAGCTGCTCAAGGCCAGTGGCGCGGCCATCTGTGGCCATTTTTCTGGGAAACAGGATGGGCAACAGTTCCTGAAGTCTTGAACTCCACCTGGCTTCCCAAGAATTTGCTGCTTAAGTCAAATTTAGGTCGCACCATAAATGAAGGATTTCAATCTTTATTTTTATTTCCAGTGCTTTTACTTGTAGGGAGCCATCATAGTCCCTAAATGTTTTGTTTTTTGTTTTTGTTTTTGTTTTTTTGAGATTGAGGGGTTTAGAGCCTTAAAGTGCCATTTCTGTCCTCTTGACAGACCTTATCTGGTTGCCAGCTCCAGCAGCAATGTGAATGATGGCCAAGTGTCTTAATCATTTTTAAACAAAAACTTCTGAACCCACAAAGGAGTTTACCAGTGTGTCCGTTTCAGCACCCTTCTACCAGGTGAGAGCAGTGGCACTCTCACTTTAATTAATCACTTACTTTACATAATGCCCATTTTATAGTTGACATCCGCCACTGCACCTGCCACTGGGGGCCCTGTCCAGTGGGGCCCAGCACCACTTTGTTTACAAAGTGGAACATCTCTCGACCATCTACAGAGCACGATGGCCTTGGCCCCACAGCCTCTCCTACTGGAGAGCACTCAAGTCTTGGGGAGCTTCCTACCAGCGGGCTTTGTCCCTGGGCAGAGACGCAAAGCAGTTTGTCATTACTACTACAGATCAGCACGGTGCTGAGTTTTTTACAGCCAGACATCATGCGTGAGATGGCTAACAAGTCTGGATCTTTTTTTGGTACCGGGAATCAAACCCCAGACCTTGTACTTGTGAGGCAGGTGGTGGAATCACTGAGCTAAATCCCTGGCCCAAAGTCCGGGTCTTTTTAAGAAACCCGAGTATTGAGATCATTCCTCTGTAGGATGTGTGGCACTCCCTCCCCAAGGGCACAGAAGGCAAGCTCAGATCCACAGGCTCCTGCATGAGGTTCCGTGAGCCCACCATTTGGGGTGACTGAGACACTGTTACCAATGGAGCAGACGAAGGAACCCACCAACCCGACACCATCTCGTGGCCCATCATCCTCAGGCCAGTAGAGGCCTGGGAACCGAACGCAGAAAAGCCATCCACAGAAAATCTCCTCAACTGTTGATTGTATAAATAATTTATTTCTGTTCACAGCATCTTATATGCATTATAAAAGGGGAATGGAAACAAAAGAACGACCGACACAGAGAATTACAGCAGTAAAACAGAAAACTGGAACTAGGGGACACAGTCCCAACACTGTAACAGAGAAACTGTGAAGGGGATTGTTCTGAGGCAAAGGTGGCCTTCCCGTGTCTGTTAGGAAACATTTCTAATGCTCACTTGGGAAGGTCAGCTTCTCCCATGTGAAACCCACTCCAACACCAAAGGGGAGAAGGCATAGCCAGTCGGGCTGACAAGGGGCTCCCAAGGTGACTTTCTCCATGCTTCCTGTTGGGTCAGAGGTGAAATGGGCTATTCTTAGGTCAAACGTCACAGAAATCAACCGGGACTCTTTAACCATTAGTTGATACACCACAGGGCTCTTGACTTTACTGCACAATTACGAACAGTTGACTGCATCCTTCAGAACAGATAATGCAAAAAACCCAAACCCAAAACAAACAAACAAAAAAGCCTGACCAAAACCATCTTGCATTATTGTTGAAACACGACAGGATTTGAACTGTGACCAGGAACCAAGGTATCATCTGCACAAGGAGGTTACAGTATTATCTGCAATGTCACCAAAATAAATATATTATTCTCTCAATAGGGCGGAGCTACCAAAATGTCAAAGTGCATAAGAAAATGTTGCATGTGAAGAAAATAAAGGAAGATGGGTATTTTTTAATAGCTCTGTACAGAATCTTTAGATGATGGGACCAGCCCATTTAAAAGTCAGTGAGTTGCTGTTGATATGTAAGCTGAAATCCAGCAGGTTTATCACTGCTTAGCTATTTTCTCTACCAAGTTTCTACAAAAAGACCAGCATTGGAGGGGTACCAAATACACTGACAAAAGAGGAAAGGAAGATAGGCTGCTAGGTTTCTGCTTTAAAAAAAAAAAATCTCCTAAAAGACTTGGGTTTCAAGCAGGAAGCAAGAACTTGTTTCTGGTTCTTAACCTGTCAGTGAAGTGGACAATAGGCATGGGCTTGCAATTTGACCAACTCTCACACTCAAGTGTAACCATGGCCAGTTCCCTCCCCTAGGCCTCCTTCGCCATGAAACTGTGTAACCGTGTGGGAGGGTGCTGTCAAAATTCTACCTGAAAACACAAACTCAGAGAGGAAATAAAAATCAGTCAGTTGCAGGTTTCCCTTTTGATACTGTGTTTCAGAGCAAATGACAGATTCCACAAACCAAGACTCAGTCCTGATTATAAAGGATTTGTAAAATTACATTATTAAAAATATGTCTTTTATTCTTCTCTCATCTTATCTAGTTTCCAAAGCCTCTTTCAAGTAAACTGAAGTGCCTGAGTACCAGTGACTGTGACGTCACGCGCCTTCTTTTATCTCAAGCACTCGTCTTCGGGCGTTTGTCCAGAGTGCTGGCTGGCTGGGAGGCCAGTTCCCACAAGAATGAATTCAGGGCTTCATTCTTACCCTTTCCCTGCCCTTCTCAACCCATGCGATGAGGTCGGCTTTTGCTACAAGGTGGGGTTTTATTTTTGGGGTGCACGACATCAAATACTCGAACGAGACATTTTGAATGAAATACTTAAACCAGAGAGGCCACAGTGAGCCAATTCAGAAATATGAACATGTCGCCACTTGCGGTGTCAGGGGATAGAAGAGGGCAGAGAGAGCAAAGAAGTCTGTTTTCCTAAGGTGACTATTTCTAAGGTGAGTATTCATTTGTAAAAGTTTGATAAACGTATCACCACGTGGTTAGTATTACAAGAGACATCCCTTGCCAAAAAGAAAAAAAAAAATCAAAAAAACAGAAAAACCCATCTCGCAATTCAGCATGCTCTGCGTGCTCGCCCAAACCAATCAGTATCCTTAGAGAATTTATTCCCCAGACATGGGAGTCTAGGTATGTGTGCCGATTACACAGTTCAGAGGTCCCTGCCCCGCGTACACACCCCATCCACATTTATGCTGAATCTTGCCCTCTACACACCTTTAACTCTTCTGTAGACAGTAAACGCATCATTTGCCACCACCTCCAACAGATTTTTTTTCTTAATTTTTATTGGTCTTTTAGTGTGCTAATGACCTACACATGGACAGGGTCCAAGCCGCAGGGAAGAGGGCTCATTCCAGGCTGCAAAGCAGTTCTCAGCACCGGTCTTCCGCAGCGACCACAAAGCCCTGTTGGAAGGGCGTCCGCGCGGCGACTCCCACCAGCGGCTCAGCGCGGGGCCCAGCGGTCCCCGATGGCCCCAACCACCTCGCGTTTGGGCCCAGAACGGGACAAATGAAATTCCAACAGGGGCCTGCCCTGTGACATAAAACGTATTCGGCCCCCAGAGCCCCTGAATGTAAGGAGCGGTGGCCCAGCCCGGATCCCCGCCCACACCGGCTTGCCGCAGGCGGCACCCCCAGGGCCGGGGGCAGCATACCTCAGGTGACTCCCAGATGACCCCTGGGGGCGGGGCAGCCCACTCCGGGCTTCGCCGGAGCCGGAGGAAATCGCTTTGTCTCTGTCGCGAGC